AAGAAGAAGAAGAAGAAGAAGAAGAAGAAGAAGAAGAAGAAGAAGAAAATAATGATGGGATCCTTGGAGCTCTCTGAGCTGGGTTGTTTTCTTGAAGAAGTTTCATTACCCAACTAGGTAACATCATCAGTGTTAGAAGGCAGTGGGGTTTGTAGGGAGGAGGAGGAGGGTCCTTGATGCTCTCTGAGCTGGGTGGTTTTCTTGCAGACAATTCATTACCCAATTAGGTCCAGCTCTGATGATGTTACCTGGTTGGGTAATGAAATATCTGCGAAACAACAGCCAATCTCAGAGAGCATCAAAGACCCCACAAATTATACTCTGTTTCCTTTCTAGAGAAAAGCTATACATTGCGAATTTTCAGAGCCCCCCCACAGATTTGGATGCCTCTGCCAATCCCTTCCCCAGCCTAATTGTGGCTTGAATGTGGGAAAAATCCTACCAAGTGCAGTAGCACAAGGTGCAAAGGTTGCATTTAACCCAATCGGCAGTTTTCCTGCTTGTGAGCTCACCTGCTCAGACACTGCGGCTTCAGCCACCCCGGCTGCATAAGCCTGAATGCTGTCGTTATATTTCTCATTGGTGGTTAATTCCAGTGCTGCCCATCTGGGAAAAAGAGAGAAAAAGAAAGAAAGAAAAAGACGTTAAAGGAAAGAATGCATCCCTCTCATCATCCTCTCCCAGTAACTACTGCAACACCCCTTGGCTTAATTCTGAATGTGGCCTGAACCAGTTGCATGCTTCAAGCTTCTAGTCCTCAGCGTGAAAACTTGCCTTTTCAGTTCTCACGACCGTAAAGTCTTCCCGTGTGCATCAAGTTGGTGCTTGTGTTTGTATGTATGCTTTCCTCTTCTCCCAACTATGTGTATTTATATATAAGGCAAGTATATCTATATAAGTGTATATATATATATATATATAAAAGCAAAAGACCACTCATGCATCATCATAAAACCTCCAGAACCGTAAAGCTTACAAACTTGAAATTTGGCACCTATGTTCCTCTTGGCTTCTAGGGGCTCACGAAGAAAGGATTTTTCGAAATGACCATCAGAGCATTAGTTATTTCATATATTATTATTATCAACACGCTCTGATGCTAAGGAGTTCTACTCCCACTCCCCACCTGAAAAGAAATCTGTTCCAAATGCAAAACACAAGCAGAGGAGTGGAGTTTCAGTTTCACAGCACCAAGCAGCTTTAGTACAGAACAGTTGAGCTAAGCCACGCCCAGGCTCCTTGCTGTCTCCTTCTTTACTCACACAGCAAATACTCTTTCAGTTTCCAAACAGCCCTCAGCTCTCTCTCTCACACGGACAGGACGCTAGCCAGATGAATACTGATGGGTGCTGGTAGACAGAGGTAGAATTCCCTCCCCCTTATTTTCCTCCCCCAAAACTAAGCCCGACCACATCGAAGCACGGGTATCCAGCTACTATATACTGTATGTATATAAAAGGTAAGTTTTCACGCTGAGGACTAGAAGCTTGAAATCAATACAGAGCGTAACAGGGAGGCTGTGTAAAAAAACTACGCAAAATATATACGGCCTTTGTCTTTCCTAGCACAGCAATTTCGCTTGCATAGTTTCTTATATGGCCTCCCCATTACACTCTGTATTGGTTTCAAGCTTCTAGTCCTCAGTGTGAAAACCTGCCTTTTCTCTCCTCCCTGGTATATACAAATTCGTCTGTTTACTTTTGTACGCCCTTCAATTTCTGACAAAGTCTTTCCATATGCATCTAGTTGGGGTGTGTGTGTGTATCTATGTCTCTGTTTTGTGTGTGTTATATGTGTGTATGTGTTTTCCTCTTCTCTCAGTTGTGTATAGGTCTGTCTCTCATCTTTCCTGGCACAGGCAGCCACTTTTTGCTTGCCTAGTTTCTTACAAGGCCTTGCCAATTCAAGCTTCTAGTCCTGACTAAGGAACCCTATTGAACGGCTAGAGTTTCTGTCCCCTTTTGACATCTTCTCCTCTTCTGTTGAGTCATGCCCTCCCAAATTTCTTCCTTGACTTCAAATCCACGTTCAAGTTTTATCTCTTAAAATGTCCTTGGGTTCTTTCTTTATCCAAACACCTCCTATATCACTCCTTTAACTTCTTCCCTGCTTTCCTCTGTTCCAGATTCGAAACCCTTGTCCAGGGATTACAAAAGGTCTGCATTACCATCAGCACATAAAATCTCACCGAGTTAATTTTTAAGGAACTGGAGCAACACAGGAAATGAACCAGCATAATCACAGAATTGCTGAATCAAAGCTCTCCGTAGCTTAAGGGACAGGAAAACAAAAGATAAGGAACATTTTCCCATTTTTCCCCCCCCAGCAAACCTGAACTCCAAAAACAGGTTTTGTCATCCAAACCAGTTGTTATCCAACGAAGGAATGAATTTTATTAACTCTTAAAGTTGTATTAAGTAAATTATTAAAAACATTGGACGTGGTGTAATCGTCCCACCAATCCTGTTTGTCATACATATTATGGCATAGAATACATATTTTATATACATTTATACATTTATACAATATTTTCCAATTCTAATCATCTGTTCTGCCACCCCTATTCTCTTTTGATTCTAGATGCTTCCTTTTTTTCCCACCATTGATAGAATTTATCTCATACTTTATAGTATTCTATCTCATCTTTATCTTTCATTTCCAAGGTTAGTCTATCCATCTCAGCGCATGTCCATATCTTTTTTATTACATCATTTTCCTCGGGAATTTCTTTATCTTTGCAATTTTGAGCAACGGGTAATCTTGCTGCTGTAATCACATGTGTTATTAAACAGATCTCCCCTTTGTTGTATTTTTCTGTTATAATTCCAAGTAGGAAAAATAATTCCAAGTAGCAAAAGGTGCACTTAACAAATGTGTTGCTAACTTAAGAACTGCAATGAACCATGGCAAGAAAAGCAAAAACTCACTTAACAAATGTCTCGTTTAGTGACCCAAAATTTTGGGCTCCATTGTGGTTTGTACGTCGTACTTCCTGGGTTGATGCTTGAAAACCAGCGTTGCAATGAAAAAAAAAATCTACCAGAATTCCACTTCAGAACCGTGAAGCGTGTACTTTCAAGGATTTTGAAATTCAGATCCAAAGCTGGTACTCCAATTCTAACAGATTCACAGAGATTGAAAGTCACAGACCTTGTAAGTCATCTAGTCTAACCCCTTCGCCCAAGGAGGAGACCCTGCACTATTTCTGCAGTCCAATCTCTTATTGAAAGCCTCCAATTCTGGAAAAGCAAGCTGCATTTAGCGCACGAAATGGTTGCAAGAAATAACTGGAGGCAAGGTCCCATCATCCCCTTTCAAACTACCAGGAATCGGCCCCATCATCCCCTCTCAAACGGCCAGGAATTGGTCTCCTTAAGGGAGACTTCTGAAGTTGAAAGTCTGAATGACATCTAGCAAAATCTCTGGAGGAATTTATCTGCTTCGGCCCTGAGTGTCTATCTATGTAAACACAACCAAAGTTAAAAAGGAATGGGGGGAAAAGTAAATATGATGCAATTTGTTTTAGACCTCAAATAGCTGGAGGTTCCTTTGAGATTTGCAGTTGGATCTGTTTTTCTTCTCTCCCCCAAAAAACTTGCTGCCCCCCCCCCCCCCCCCCCGAGGATTTCCTTCCCCAGGACTAGCCTCTTGTAGGGTTTGTTTTGAATTGGGACTTACGGATAACGAATTTAAAAAAAGACTCAAAAAAGCAAATTTGAGATTGTTTATGGGAATTGCAGCAAGATTGTGCTGGAGGCAAAAGGATGGAACAATGAGGATAGGCCCAGAGTGGAAGAATAGATAGCAGAAATGGTGAAATGGGCCTGCTTGATCAGAGAATAAATACCAAAATATTTCTTTTTTGAAAGATGGGGAGATTTGCTGAAAGAAAAACAAAAGGTGCTCATAATTTACGGATTTGAAAACAAACAAAGGGGAGGGCTAGGTATTAATTGTGAACCTCAATGCTAAATTTTAATTTTAATTGCAGGCTGCCCAGAATTGTTTGTCAGAGTAAAGTTGGGTGGCATATAAATTGAGCACATGAATAAATAAATGAAGATGAGAAGGGACTTGAAAAACACTTAGGAGAAAAGAGAGACAATAATAATATAATTTTGGGAAGCCGGGGTGATAGAATTGAAAATATTTTCATGCCCAGGTTGCCCGTCTTCTTGGTTTTTGATTTTTACCTTTTTATTCTAACTTTATTTATTTTTTAACCCTTTGAAACTTTTTGTTCTACTGTATAAAGCAACACTTCTCCCCTTCGTTTATTTAATGTACAAGTCAGATGGGCGGCCCTGGAATTTAATAAGTAAAAATAATTGAAGAATGTTGACCGAAAAAAGGACCAGAAATCATCTATATGTCTCTTAATTTTCTTAATTTCCCCCCTCCCCTTTGGGGTTTGTTATCACTAAATAAAAATGGACCATAAATCTCATCACTAGAGGCTTTCCACAAGAGAGCAGATATTTCTGGAGGGATGGAGTTCCACCGGTGGATAGTTCTCACTGGCAGGATCGCTTCTGCCCTTTGATTACTGTCCATCCGTTCTTTCTTCTCCTGCCTTCTGGTGCTTTGAAACCTTCTTATTCGAGATTTATGGGATGCTTCTTTCCTTTTTCATGCACATGCCAGTTCTTTCAAGGCCATCTCTCTCATTTGCCTGGGATGACATGAGGTTTCCTGCCTTGAGGAGCGGGTTGGACTGGAAGACCTCCAAAGGTCTCCTCCAACTCTGTTCTTCGGCTGTTTCTCCCTTAACCACCTGGGTTATTTGTAAAGCTGTATCCTTCTATTGTTCTGTGTCTGTGGATATTCTCAGTCATCCAGGTCAAAATAGGGCACAGATTTTGGGGGGTAGTGGACACCTTTCCTTTGCTTTCCCTCTCTCTTCCTTCCTTTTCCTTTCCTTGTGCTCTTTTCCTTCTTTCCTTCCTTCCTACCTTCCTCCCTCCTTTCCTTCCTATCTTCCTTCCTTCCTTCCTTCCTTCCTTCCTTCCTATCTACCTTTCTTTCTTCCTCCCTCCCTTCCTTCTGGTTACAATGCAGGCTAGCTCACTGTCAGCAGTTCGATCCTGACTGGCTCAAGGTTAACTCAGCCTTCCTTCCTTCCTTCCTTCCTTCCTTCCTCCCTCCCTCCCTCCCTCCCTCCCTCCCGAAACTGTACAGATTCTCTTCTCCAGCTGCGGGTCGGACTAAAGACCTCCCAGCTCCAACAGCTGCGATGCTGCGATGTCTTTGAAAAAAAAACCAAAACAGGACCGGGCGGCTATAAGGTCATAAAGCCCGCGGCGAGGGGAAAGCCGGGGTGAAGGGGCTGGACCTTTCTCCGAGCCCCGCAGGCCCCCCCTTGACGCGTCTCCTCCGAAGCCCAGCCAAGCCCCCCCCACCTTCCCCCCGGGGAACCTTAGGATGGAGAAGGGCGCGATCCTACCCGTTCTCGCGGATCCCGTCGGTCAGGTTGGCCCAAGCGACGGCGCCCGGTGCCCAGCCTTGGACGACTTTCAGTTCCGCCGACACCGGGTCCAGCAGCACCGAGCAGCCGCGCGTGGGTTGCAACCCACCCGCCTCGGGGAAGCGCGGGGGAGAAAAGGAGGCGGAGAGCGCCCGCCGGAGCAGCAGAAGCGGCAGGAGGATTCGCCACGAGAGGCCGAGCGCCATGGCCGGTCCGTCCGTCCGTCCGTCCGAGAGCGGTGCCTTCCTCCTCCCCGGGTGCGGGACTAAGGCCAAGCCGGCTGGCGTAGGCTCTGATGCAGCCGGAGGAGGAGGAGTCGTCCCACTCCCCCCCCCCCCCCCCCCCCCCCCGCCCGGCCACCCCGGCTGGCCTCCCGCCCGGGCGCTCCCACCCAGGGCCCCGCGAGGGGGCCCCGACCTCAGGGAAGCCTTGCCGGGCGAAATCGGAGGGTTGCGCGGAGCGAAACTTGCAAGGCTTATAGATTTCAGCATAGAGCTGGAAGGGACCTTGGAGGTCTTCTAGTCCAGCCCCTTTGCTAAGACCCTTTCAGACAAGGGACTTTCCAGTTCTCTTCTTCAAAACCTCCAGGGATGGAGCCACCTACAGCTTCTGGTGGCAAGCCGTTCCACGGGTGAATTGTCCTCCCTATGAGGAAGTTGCTCCTTAAATTCCAGGTTGCTTCTCTCCTTGGGTTAGTTTCCATCCGTTTGCTTCTTGTCTGGCCTTCTGGGGCTCTGGAGAATAGGTTGACCCCCCCTCTGGGGCAGCGCCTCAAATATTAAAATACTGCTATCGTGTGCCCCCTCCTCCAGTCCTTCTTTTCTCTCTAGATTAACCAGAGGTGGGATTCAGCCGGTTCGGACCAGTTCTGGAGAACCCGGTAGCGGAAATTTTGAGTAGTTTGGAGAGCTGGCACCAAGGACCCCAGTTCAACCCTGAGCTACAAAAGTTCTCATTTATTTGTTTGTTTGTTTATTTATTTAAATTGAATTGAATATTTAATTTTGTCAAAAGCTTACAATACAATAGAAACAAGAATAAACATAAGTTTATATACAAGAAATAGGAACTAATAGTTGGGGACAATAGGACAGGGACGGTAGGCACGGTTGTGCGCTTATGCACGCCCCTCCCTTACCAACCTCTTAAGAATGGGGTGAGGTCAATAGAGGTTAGTTTGAGGGTAAAGGAGTGAGGGGTTTGAGCAGGTGACAACAGAATCAAGTAGTGAGCTCCAGACATTGACCGCTCTGTTGCTGAAATCGTACTTTATTTGTATTTATTGGTTCGTATTTGTCTTGAAGGTTTGGATGGGAGACCAAGTGGAGATCCCATAGCTATAACCAGTTGCAGAAAAGAAAAAAAACAACCTTCCCCCAAAGAAGGCAACTCCATTCCTCCTTAATATTACTGCCAAGAAAACCACCTTACGCAGGTTCCATGGTCAGGTGAACACAATTCACAATGTTTTGGACAATGTTTTCTTCCAGTGTCCGGCAAAAGAAAAAAAAAAAAAAAAGCTCATCGTGAACAAGGAATTCAGTTAATGATTGCCATATTCGCTTAACAACTCTGCCCCCCCCAAAAAAAATTCTTAAAATCAGGTTGGTCACATTATTTAGGCTTAAGACATAAGACATAAGAATTTATTTGTCATTACACTCGCAAGCGGGTGCAACGAAATGAGGTGCTCTTCCACAAGCAAACTGGACAAACACCACTAAAAAAGAAAGAAAAAGAAAAAAAATTAAACTAAACACAACCAACCATACAATAATCTCTATACAATTTAAAAATGTAAATACCCCACTACTCTCAGCCATTAAACTCCACAAAAATCTTATGACCCCGCATTCAAACTCAAAACTGCACTTGGATAAAAACTGTTCTTAAATCTGGTCGTCCTTGTTCTTAATGCCCTAAATCTCCTTCTCGATGGTAATAGTTCAAAGGCTTAGCGATTGGTGTGACTTATGCCTGTAATTCTGGGCTCAGTGATGGTTTGAGGACTGCCTATTGCTGTGAATTAAGGCTGTCACTAAACAAGGACCACTTGTTTGGGGCTGAAGGTTTCAGACTTTGTTCTGTTCCAGCAAAAAGAGAGAAAACAGTGGTTTGTTGTTGTTTTTTTCCTGACTATACAGTAAGGGACAGTTGGGCGTGAACTCAGTGCCCGGGTGTCTCAGTTCAGTGGCTCTCTTGACCTGGAGCATGTGATCCTAAAAAAGCAATTAAATCAGATCCAACACTGACCTTTTAAGCTCTTAAGGCTTTTATATCCCTGGCCAGGTAACATCGTGGTGTCTGCCCGAAGAGCTTTTATCCTAGAGAGAGAGAGAGAGAGAGAAGGACAGAGAGCAAAAAACAAAATACGGAATTACAGAGTTGGAAGGGACCTTGGAGGTCATCTAGTCCAACCCCTCCCTGCTTGAGGCATTCCAGACAAAGGGCAGTCCAGTCTCTTCTTCAAAACCTCCAGGGATGGAGCAGCCAATTCTGGAGGCAAGAGGCTCCACTGGTTAATTGTTCTTCTCATGGTCTACATTCTAAGTTGGATCTGAGTCAGAAGGGACCTTAGAGGCCTTCTAGTCCAGCCCCAGCTCAAGCAGGAAACATTTCTGACAAATGGTTGGTTGTCCAATCTCTTCCAGAAAACCTCCAATGATGGAGCACCCTCAATGTCTGGAGGCAAGCTGTTCTGCTGGTGAATTGTTTTTATTGTCAGGAAATTTCTCCTTAGTTCTAGGTTGGATCTCTCTTTTATATCTCTTTTTTATCATCCTCCACCCATTGCTTCTTCTTGCTTTGGAGAGTGACAGACCCTCAAATATTGGAAGTCTGCAGAGGTGGGTATTCAGCCAGTTCTGACCAGCTCCGGAAAACCGGTAGCGGAAATTTTGAGTAGTTTGGAGAAATGGCCAATGCCGCCTCTGACTGGCCCCACCAACCCCATCAATTCCCTGCCTCCTATTGAGTCCCAGCTGGGAAAAGGGGAAAAGAATAGAATAGAGAAGGGAATAGAATAAGAATAAGAATAAGAATAAAATAGAATAGAATAGAATTCTTTATTGGCCAAGTGTGACTGGACACACAAGGAATTTGTCTTTGGTGCAAATGCTCTCTGTGTACATAAAAGAAAAGATACATTCGTCAAGAATCATCAGGGACAACACTTAATGATAGCCATAGGGTACAAATAAGCAATCAAGTCATACTAGGAAACAGTCCATATAAATCGTAAGGATACAAGCGACAAAGTTACAGTCATACAGTCCCAAGTGGGAGGGGATGGGTGATAAGGAGTGATGAGAAGGTTAACAGTAATAGTAGTGCAGCCTTTGCAAAAAGGTGGACCGTGATGAGGGAATTATTTGTTTAGCAGAGGGGGGAAAAAACTGTCCTTGTGTCTAGTTGCTCTGGTGTGCAGGGCTCTGTAGCCTCGTTTTGAGGGAAGGAGTTGAAACAATTTGTATCCAGGATGTGAGGGGTCTGTAAATCTGGATCTCATTTTTTGTTTTGTTTTTAATTAAAAGCGTTTGGAAGGGGGGGACCTTCAAAGAGTCAAACCAGTTCATCGCCTCCTTCCCTCGACCTCGCTCGCCTGCCTGAACTCCTTCGCCTTATCTAGCCAGCCAGCCCCCCCCCTTTTTTCCTGGGATGACGCGAGGTCAGAGGGGCTGCTGGCTTCGGCAATTGCAACCAGGCAGGAAAAGGGCGTGAGAGAACCGGCCTTTCAGGAGCGCATCCCGGCTGCAACCTCTCTTGCAAAGCCAAAGGGAGGCGCGTGGGAGCCAAAGGGAGGGCATCGCGTGTGCGTGGGAGCGGGGAAGCGAGTGGGAGCTCCGAGCCCTGCTTGTCAAGCAGCCGCCAGGGCCTTGTCTCTTTAAGCCCGCAGCCGGGGCGGTGACAAGAAGGCGGGCTTGTGGGCTCGTCTGTCCCAGGCTCTAGAAAAGAGGAGCGGAGGGCGCAAGGTTAAAGTCCCAGGTGGCGCGAGGTTCCAGTTCGGCTGCTGCTGCTGCTGCGCACGCCAGGTGAGTCGGGGCAGGTGCGGCTTGGCCGCCGGCAGGTATAAGAGAAGAAGGCGGAGGCGATCCCCCCCACCCCCTGAATTGGGGCCTCCGGACCGGGAACGAAAGAAGGAAGAGAGAAAGAAAGAAAAGGGGAGGGGAAAAAATGGTTGTTTACAGGCTTCGCGTTCCCGGGTGGCGTGATGGGCCGATCGTGAGGACGGGGAGCGCGTGGGGGGGTTGGGTTTCCCCCCTCGCGTGGAGGCTTCTCTACGCGCTTTTCGGCGGAGAGCTGGAGGAGCGGAGTTCAATTCCCGACCGTATCCCAGGGCTACACGTGTCCTCCGACCTCACCCTGTCAAGCCTGTTTTTGGAGGCCAGGGTCCTTTTAGCTGAATTGGCAGGGCTCCATTCCAAGCAAGGAGGTGGGTTGAGTCCTAGTGGACAATCGCTTCAATAGGAACCGGTTCTTAGGCTGCCATAAACAGAAGGATAGAATCGAGATCAGGTGGTTAATGCCCCTTGGTAATAAGGCCACGCTTGGAAATGCTGCATCCAGTTTTGGTTGCTGCAATGTTTAAAAAAAAAAAAAGATTTTGAGACTCTAGAAAGAGTGCAGAGAAGAGCAACAAAGATGATTAGGGGACTGGAGGCTAAAACGTATAAAGAACAGTTGCAGGAACTGGGTATGTCTAGTTTGATGAAAAGAAGGACTAGGGGAGACATGATAGCAGTCTTCCAATATCTCAGGGGCTGCCCCAAAGAAGAGGGAGTCAAGCTATTCTCCAAAACACCTGAAGGAAGGACAAGAAGCAATGGATGGAAACTAACCAAGGAGAGAAGCAACCTAGAACTCAGGAGAAATTTCCTGACAATTCATGAATTGTTCTCAGTGAGAACAATTCATCAGTGGAACAACTTGCCTCCAGAATAGAATGAAATGGAGTAGAATAGAATGGAGTAGAATGGAGTGGAGTAAGAATAAGAATAGAATTGAATTCTTTATTGGCCAAGTGTGATCGGACACACAAGGGATTTGTCTTTGGTGCAAATGCTCTCAGTGTACATAAAAGAAAAGATACATTTGTCAAGAGTCAAGAATCATCAGGTACGACACTTAATGATAGTCATAAGGTACAAATAATCAAATCATACTAGGAAGCAGTCCATATAAATCGTAAGGATACAAGCGACAAAGTCACAGTCATACAGTCCCAAGTGGGAGAGGAGGGGCGATAAGGAGTGATGAGAAGATTAATAGTAATAGTAGTGCAGACTTTGTAAATAGTTGGACAGTGTGGAGAGAAGTTGCCAGTCCTCCTCTCTCAGCCCAATCCCCCCCAACAGGTTGTTATTATGGGGTACGAATAGGAGGAGGAAGGTATGTTGATATGTTCGCCACCTTTACTTGTAAAAATAATAAAAGCAGGTTATAAATAAAGTCCACTGTATAAGCTTGGCATATATTTTGTGGATATATAAGCTCCCCTACTCAGAAAGTAACCCAACCCAGCCCCTACATACTTTAGCTGTCTTTAGCTGCCTTTAGACTTTGCTTCTTAATAGAATTATAGCCCCTGAATCGAATTCTAAACCCCTCTAGAGTCAATTAAACTAATGGCCCTCTTTGCATTTCATTTTTGCACTCTGCAAGTGTATTAGTTTGTCATTGTCAGATTCCCCATCCCTTGGGCCCATGGAAGGACATTATTTAGGAATCGGAAAATTTCCACCAGCAGTGGTGGGAATGACCTGGGGTGGGATATAGATAGAAGCCCGACTGGATTCAATAGTTAGATCTCTGGATTCATGAGTAACCAGGCAAGAGTTTCTGGATTCCCTTTGATTCGGAGCTTTTGAAAGCTGCTCCTTTAAGAATTGTGTAAAAGGAAAAGAGGAGGAGATAGATTTATGAATAAACTTCAGGGTAACTGATATGACACCTTCGTTGGCTGTTCCTGTTTTAAAACAGGAATTAACCAGGAAATATTGCTTGATTAATATCCAGAAAGCCAGAGAAACGTTCTCATTTCTTCTGAGGCTGTTATTCAGAACGTGTCTGGCTGGTTTTGCAAGCAGCTTGCAATAATGATTCACCTAAAAAAAAATATTATTGGGATCTTCCAAAGGAGGTGAGAATGAAGAAATTCCTCGAGGCAATTTACTATTTTTATATCAGCAAAACAAGGGCTGTGTTAAATAATTACTTGCAAGGTTGTTTTTCTTGCACCCATTCCAGTTTGGTGCAGTTGTCTAACTAACAGCAGACAGGAAATAGGCTCAGAATTTGCGGAATGTGGAAAAAGATTTGCAGGTTTCAATGAGAGACTCGTAATGTGGTGGACTAAAAAGGTAAAATTTTCTCTGTCAGGGCATGGTGTTCATATTTTTTGGCCGAGGGAATCTGTGATCCTAAGACAATTCCCATGGTCATATGGCCAGTGTGGCTATATGCCAGAGGCTCACGGAATGCTATTACCTTCCCACTGAAGTGGTACCTATTTATCTACTCACAGTTGCATGCTTTTGAACTGCTAAGTGGGCAGGAGCCAAGCTGGAGCAAGTAACAGGAGCTCACCCCATTGTGTGGAGCTCGGGTCTCAAACCCGGTCTACCAGCTCTCCACCTGACAAGCCCAGCAGTCTTTAACCACTGAGCCATCATGCCTCGTGTAATGTTAGTAGCAGACTAAGGCCCACCAATTTCATGCCTTCCATATGTGTGAATGTTGGGACTACAACTCCCAGAATTCTTGTTGACTGAGCTGGTTGTAGTCCCAGGACACATGGCAAAAAGTTTGAGACTAAAGACTTGGCTAAAGAATTCTGGGAGTTGGAGTTGCCACTCTTAAACAATAACCCAACCTGTGGGTTGTCTAGTATCAATCATACCTCCTGCATATGGGAAGGAAAAATTTAATCCTCACCCACTCACCTTTTACTTTATAAGATTTTTTACCCATTTTTTCCAGGGATATAGGAGCTGTGAGAGGCGCCAACAGATCCCCAGAAAATCAGAGATCTCTGTCCAGAAAAATGCAGTGCTAGGAACCGCTAAGATCCCGTGCAAAACCTTCAAACTACCAGGCCCCCGATCAAGGATCCATGATTGAAGAAGACAAAGACCACTCAAAGGGGTGAGAAGGAACTTTCTAGAACAAATTTTACACCTCCGTTGCAATGTATGCAGGTAGTCCTTCACTTACACCCATCCGTTTAGTAACAGTGTGAATGTTGGCCCCGAACAACACTGGGAAAAGTGACTTATGTCAGTTTTCACACAACCAAGTCCCATTACCTTCTGAAAAAGCACCTTTGGGACAGTGGTGGGATTCCAAAAAATTTACTACCCGTTCTGTGGGCGTGGCTTGGTGGCTGTGGCAGGGGAAGGATACTGTAAAATCTCCATTCCCTCCCCACCCCACTAACCTGCTTTCCAGCTCCATTCTCCTGTGCAGGGCAACCAAAGAAGACCCAGC